GGAAAAATAATTAGAAGACTTATCACACAGTTTTTCAAATAGAGAGACACCAAAATTGAGAATAGTTGAAATATAATTAATCAAATGAATTGCTATAAGAGTTGCTTGCCCCCAGAAGGACCTAAGAACATTTGCCAACATAAAGAGAAAGCAAATTGTCTCCATAATGTGACAATGTTTGCGCTCGGGAACACCACTCTACTCAAGATTGTGAGTACAAGAGGATTGATAAACAGTATCCTCATATTTCAACAAATTACGAAAGAAAGAAAAAGAATATTCTCCTTTTTTATCACAACAAAAACCTTTAAAAACAGAGGAATGTTGAGTGCATATCATAATACATAATGAATTAAATAAGGACAAGTTGAAATGACATTACCTCAAATATACTCAACAATACCTAGTGTAATCATTATAAAAGAGACATAATATCTGCACCCTCCTTACATAAGGATAAGAGCAGGTCCCTAAATATCAAAATGATCAAGAGAGCTAGTAATATTTTAATGAAAGGTAATGTAATAAATTTAGCCAACTTGAATCCCCTACAATAAAAAAATGTCATGATAGTCTAAACTACCCAAACTAGCGGTAGAAACTAAAAATTTTAAACGAGAATGAGAAACATGACCAAAGCTTTGACTCAAATGAAAAGAAAATAAATCAATGGTAGAGGCAACAAGTAGAGCTCATCCAACACATACAACCATCCTTTTTTGTGGCCAGTCCATTGGACCGTAGATCCTGCACAACAAAACCAAAGGAAGAGAAATGCACAGAAAAACCACAATCAAATAGCTTACTAATAGAAAGTAAGTTCAAAGGAATCGGAAAATATAGTAAACATCTGAAAATGTGAGCTAGAGAGAAAAAAACCGTCCCCACACAAGCCAACGACACGTTAGTGCCATTGATGGCAAGTTCAAATATAGATGGAAGAGAAACAATAAATGCAAAGAATGAAGAATCACTAGTTATATGATGTGTAGCACCTAAGTCAATGGCCTTGGCGATTCAAGATATACCTAAAGTGAACTAAGGGAGAGACTGAGAGGGCACTAGGCTGATGGAGGGAGAAAAACTTCTATAATTGATCAACAATCATAGTTAGGCTAGGAGTTGATTAGAGTGACCTATCCACGGGTGGTGATGCTACTATTGTATGACAATCTTTGAGCTTAAATGATTGATTTAGTAATCCTCGTACATTTTTATTCACCAATTTAGGGCATTGTGACTTTTGGCCCTTCTCACAACAAAAGCTACACTAATGTGAGCAGTTCAACCCTTCTAGGAATTGGAAGTCACCTTAGAAGGAACAACCAATACGGTCTAATTGGGTAGGGCAATAGAAGAAGACCTTTTCTAGATAAGGTCTTAAGATGCACCTCTTCAAGCAAAAGCTCATTTAACTGTTGCATCAGCTGAGAGAAATGGATGAAGATGAAGAATTGAATCACGAAATCCCTTGAAGTCATCGCTGAGTACTATCAAAAATTGAACCACATTTGCCCCACTCCAAAGGTGTGGTTGACCTTATTACTACTATGTTCAGTGGGTTAGTCGTAACTGAGTAAAATTCATGAATGTTCCTATCACCTTGACAAGAAGCTCGAATTTCAAGCTGTAGTTGATACCTCTTTGCAAAATTAGACTGAGCAAATAAAGTAGCTAAGTAATCCCAAATTTCCTTGGTTTTGGTAAACTTGGCCAGATCAAACATCAATGGTTCAATCAACTAAGTTGTTAGTCCTGATAATGATTTTAGCATTGTTGATGTCCCAACTGCTCTACGAATTTGTATACTTTTCAGCCTTAATATCTATTGGAGCCATCACAACACCATTAACATAACTCTACATGCTTTACCCAACAAAATTTTTTTCATAACGTATGCCCAATACGTATAATTGTCACCAATTCAATTCACACTAATAGCCTACGGGAAAATAGAGTTTCCACTTGCCAAAATTTCAAACAGAGAAAGACTCACTTTAACTGTGCAAATACCCAAGGTCAATAAAGATAAAGCCTAATAAACAAAAGAATGCACAACTGGCCCAAAGCTCACAAAGCCCACAAACCAATTAAAAAGTCTCAGCCCCAACTTGTTAGAACCAAGAAAGACTAGACAAACGAGAAAAGACAAAAGAGAACCAAATGTGCAGACAAAGAACCTTTTAGAACTAGAAGAAAACCAATAGCAAGCCTTCAATCGAATTAGAAGAGAACTTGTCCACAGGAAACCTTCAATCAAACCAGAACAAAACCTATCAGAACCAAAGGAGAACCCACCATGCCCTACAAGAACACCTCGACACCCACAATGAGCAGAATTTAGACCAACCGGAAAAAATTCTCCGATGTTCTTCCAAAAATCTGTTCGAGATTCCCCAAAACATCCAATCGAATACCAAGGATTTTTAATCACACCTACGATGCAGATTTAAGGCAAAGAATTCAATCAAAACTTGAAGAAATCTCAAATCAAGGTTTTTGGTCCCTTTTTTCTTGAAAAATCTATGAAAAATTAGAAATCTCTTCAAACGAACTCCAAATCGGAAACCAATTGCACCGAATTGAAGCCCATGAGGAGTCAATCTGTTGCGGCCTCCGGTTGCTAACGTCATGGTGACGACATCAATACAAATGATAAACTCCGCCCCATTTCAACTTCTGTCCTTGCTCCAGATTAATTTGATAAGTTGGTAATGGTGTTTAGATCGCGTTCTAATGCCATATTAACTTAGATTAAAAAGCGAAGAAAAGAGAAGCAAAATAGAGAAATAATGAATAATAACACACTTGGTTTGTGTTAGAACTTAATTAATTATTTTTTTATAAGAAAGTATGGGCAAGTAGTCCATACATCAGCCAAAACCAACAACATGCTTACACGACATAACTGAAAAAGACAAAAGCAAAAAACAATCATTCACACTGCATTTCAGCTTGCCAAAATGCCAAAGGACGGGATATTTGCATACTCCTTCGAAACTGATGCCCAAAAAGTTGCTAAAAATAGATACAATTCCATAAACCATCAACTACCTCATATTTGTCTTAAAGATTCTTGCATTTCTTTCCAAACTGATCACCCATAATAGTAGGAAAAATCACACGTTCCCAAAAAGTAACTTATCTTCCAAGCCCATTATAATCCTCACAGAATACAGAATAAAACTCTTATAAATAGTAGGTCAATACAAAATAAAATAAGTGACTAAACTACCCCAAAACACTAGATATCTAAATATACTCTAGCAAGGCCCACATGATAGCGAGGGGAAAAGAAGGTTGGCACTTGGCAAACATGCCCATGTTGGTGATGATGGTTTCAATTTTGAAATGTAGAGATTACTAGTAATTTACAAGTTCGTTTAGTATAGGTAGAAAAATGAGTCAGCTTGCCAATACGTCAAGCTTAGATAAAAAAATCCTAAAAATTTGTTTAAATTCTGCTCATTTTATAATATGAGCGAGTGAAAAATGAGCCTAGCCCAAGTTATCGGGTTTGATTAACAGCCCTATATAAAGGTCTCCTTATTTGCATGCATCTTTCATAATGGAACAGTAGACATCAGAAGATGAGCAAAAACATTAATGCAATCACAAGCAACAGCTGTATTGTAAGGGGCACCTTATGCAACCAATAAAGTTTGAATAGTCAAGTCTCTTATGTTTTGTCAACACATTCGAAAAATACAAGTACATTTCCCATCCTATTTTACAATGCAAGTGCGAAGCCAAGATTCACAAACTTGGGAGAGCAAAGTTGACAAGCATTTAATAGTTTCTTTCTTTTGGTAAGAAGAGGGGGGCACAAGAGGCTCAAAGCTATTTGGGGTGTATGTAGCTTCACCTCGCTATAATACATGTGCAATACACATAATATCTGCTACAAACAATACATGCACCCTTCAAAGCCATTTTACATTTTTGTAAGAAAAATGATTTTTTAACAAATTCAACTTTCCAAGATAACAATTTTGTCTCAAAATAAATTAAGATTAAACAAGATGATTGCTCATATTTCTCTTTTGAATTTGAGAAGATGCTCTGTAGCATTCACTCATTTATTTATATTTTTGGTAGAGTTATATTTCACATTTCTACTACAATCCCATTTATTTATTCTCTCTACATTGCTGGTACAACATATTTTTCTAATCAGTTGATTGGCCAGGACATAGGATTCTATATTCATCAGTAACTTGTATAAGAAATATTGCATAGGATCAGTCTTCATGACTCATTTGGTGAAATTGTAAGAACTGCAAATACATGAATGAGGTAGAACTCGAAATCAAAATGATGTCATGAGATGTTATAATTCACTGAGAATATTTTTTTGAGGTTCAAATTTTATCTCATTCAGTCACACAAACAGCTGAATTTTTAACTTGCGATTTCTTTTTACAAATAAACAAAACATCAGAGGACTTTATTTGATATATTTGTGCAAAATTCACCTATTATTCTTAATCTTTTTTAATAATACGATGTGCAATCTGACAACAATGAAGTGTATTATTTTTCAACAGCGTGAAAGTTGCATTACAACCTATATAGTGAGGTGGTTAAATACTTGATGCGCTTTATGCCTCATCCTATTGAACATTAATTCCATCTTTCCTAATCAACCAGCACGTCTAGGGTAGAATGACCACCGAAGAAATCAAAAGATTATCCACATGTATAAGAATTCTAAACTACCCAATACAATTTGATCAGTACCAGAGACTAAAAAATTTTGAATCAGGAGAATGCAAAAAAGAATGAATTAATCTTTCCTCGATTACCTGGAAACTATTGAACTGTCTTTTCTCATGAGAAATAAGAAGTTATAAAAGGAATGCCGCTGAAGGAATATTACTGAAGGACTGTCGCTACCTCTTTCTTATCATGGATACTAAACATAATTTATTTTTTACTGATCTCAATTCTCAGATTGAATGCTTTCTATAACTATCCAGCTGACAAGTTTAACCTGGCTCTTAAGCTCTGGGAATAATCAGAGGTGGTGTCAAATCATCACATACCTGACATCCGGAATAAAACACTCTATGTGCTTTTGGATTAACGTCACCATCCTGGCTTTTGCAATAATCTGAACACCAATCTACCAGACTGAAACATCACATACACAGATGACATGGAATCAGAAATTCTCACTTCATTCTTAAATTCTTCTTTTGCCTTTTTTTTACAAGCCTGGGTAATTTATTAAAGATACATATGCAAGATATAATAAGCAGATAAGGAACTGCTTAGCAACCTTTCCAACATGGTAGCAACATATGACGGGGGTAGAAACTTTGCACGAGACAAATAACTAGCAAGATAAGCAACAGCACTCATCCTGCAAAAGGCCAGTACATAAATTAGTAACGTGGTAATGGTCCTACACAAGTGAGCTTTACAAACAAAATAATGAAACTTTTGGAGTTCAGAACACCAATTCTACTTGGCAACTCATTTGCAGAAGCAATTGAGTGTTACTGGGTTGGAACAGTGCTGATTATTTTATAAAGAAAAAGGAAGGAACACATTGCCGAGCCCCATCCACTACTAGCTTAAAGACTCCACCTGCCTAGTTTTCAATCGAACAAAAACATTTCCGACCATCAGTGGTAGACATCATCCACAGCTCTATACACATATGAGGGTTTTGTGGGTGCAGATATTTTTTTTTTTGGGAAATAGAGAATAGAAAAAGAAGGTGGGAGGGGGAGTCAAAATTGAAAGTAAGTATGCATAACCCGTAACACAACATGACATATGAAAATAAAAATACATCTCTACTTCAAATGCCCATGTCGGTGCCATATGGTACATGTTGAACATGGATGTTTTTACGTAAAAATGTACAAACTGTACACTATATAAAGTATAAACAAGATTTACAAGCGCTTATCATCAGATTCATTACCGTTTGATTCAAAGCAACCATATAAGTGACCTAAAAGACATTAAACTCATATCCCTTTTAATTCATAGTGTAATTACTGTTCCACAAAAGCTGCTATAGGTTTAAAAATTGTTTGTTGCCTACATCTTTACCTTCTTTCGGCATAGACATCATTCATAAAAATATTTGCAAGCATACTCGCAAACTTCTTTCCACAATTTTCAGGATCTAGTGAACAGACATAGAACACTACAAACTGCAAAAGATAAGCAACATATATTAGATGATGAGATGGTGAATTGGTGCATCATTATGAGAATCGATTCAATAACTGTACGACGATGTTTAATGCATATGATGGAAAAAGAAAAAGAGAAATCAAAGCAATTGAATCAAAAAGGGTAATTTGTGTTGGTACGGGATATTTGTCATCTAGATATTTTGCAAGGAAATTACCTGGGTAAATTTTGATTTGTAAGCAGTCAAAACAGTTTTGTCAAATGACTGGAGGAGACATTCGAATACCTATGCCATGGCAATTGAATACATATTAATTTCAAGAACCAGGATAGCAAAACCTTTTGAGGAAAAGACAACCAGAGAACTTACTTGAATCAAACGGCCACCATCATTACAGGATTTAAGGTGTTCCAGTGTGAGCACCAGCAAGCTATCTAATTTTTCAGCAACTAAGTTTCCCCCAAATAGCCTTTGCCTCAAAAATTCCCTTGGAAGCTGAAAACATGAATCTCATTAGCATACCACCAAACAATCATGTTTAATTTGGAAGATCACATATCACAAACAAATTATACTTTTAAAAAAACACAATTCACCGGGATTTTATGTATGGGCATGGTCCTACTTGCAGTTCCACATTAATTTCTGTATAACTTAAGGACAACGTCAACCTCCACAGGAAAATACAAGACTGGACAGACGGAAGGATGTTCACCTTATTTGATCCATTTTTTGGAAGTAATCTCAGTTATTTGTACTTGGTCTTTGAGCGTAAATACTTTTGAAGTGGGATTGCGATCCTTTGTCCCGGCGATTGTAGCACGTATCGCCCGGGTGCAAGGGGAATGATGACTTGACCTCATCCTCACCTTCCTCCATATTGAGTAGGGAAATACACACAGTCATCAGGACGAACTCTTGATGGTGCCAAGAGAAGGGCTGAAACTGTTCTATATGCCTGTCTGTCAAGGGGCTTCTTTAAAATTCAAAAAACCATGGAGGAATCATGTGGGCTCACTTTCAGCTGATGGGACCAGCCATAGATCACATGTGCTAGAGGAGCAACTTAAGGAGGGGTCAGAATGACCCACTTAGTTTAGTCTTTTTGGTCTGAAAAATCAGATTCCCATGAGTATCATAGTTTCACTTGATATTCAGCTGTCAGGTATTAAAATATTGGGTTTGTCCAGTGATTTCCTTGCTTGAATTTATTTAAATCTTCATTTCAACACGAAAACATTTGTCTCATATAAGCCTCAAAACAAGTTCATAGCTCCACAATAGTTACCCAACAATACAAGCAGGCACAAATTCAAACAAGTCTGATTAATAAAAAATTTCTTTCAACATGTCTCCTTCAAAGGTAAGACTCCGTTAATTTCTTCTAGATGAGACTCAAAAGGGCTCCGTAAAATTATAAAATTCATCATATATTTCCTTAATTTAGTTACCACTACGCTGAAATACTAAAGAGGCACATCCAGCCCTTCAAGCATCCAACTTCTATTACCCAAAAAAAATATCTATCTAAAGACCCTAGGCTTAATTTACCCACCATAATCTAACTAAAAATCTTTGTTTTCTTTTGTGTCCAAATTTCCAGAAAGATTCCCATTGATTTACGCCCGCAGGTACCCTCAGCTGGTCTAACCACAACAATTTGACTCTTCCCACCACCTCAATGTAAGCATTTCAACAAAAAACCCATAAACCAAAGCCCTACCCACCATCATTATTTGATTGTAGCAGCCTTAATTTCTAACCTCAGGGATCAGTTTTTCCTGATGGTACACAATCACTAAACTGACAACATGAGGACATTTAGCGCCCATTTGTCACATAGACCAGGTGGTTCACAAAAGGGTAGTTCTGAATTATGCTGCACTCAATGACCACGTGGTATACTTCTATCAGATGGCATGAAGCAGCAAACTGAAATTTCTGAAGGTGACGTATGTGTATGTACAAGCGGAGAAAATAACAATTAGGTCTCAACCTCCCTCCCCCCCTTCCTCTATCCCTCTTAGATTGATAAGATTTACTAAAGAACACAAATAGACGAAATCCATAGAAAATAAAAATGTTCTCTACCCTATATCAACTTGTATCTTCAAAGTCAGATTTACATAAGATTCAGTAAAAGCAAAAACATTGAAAGCCTGTAACTTATTTTAAACTTTCTACGTAAAGAAAAAAATAGCCTAAATAACTCTTAGTCTTACCTCACTTCAAAAAGTTTTGAGACCCGTTATAGCTTGGACTACAAGAACCAATGTACTTAAGCTTTGGCTTGAGAATAGCTATTTTTAGTGTACTAGAAACGCACCACGTGAAAAAAAAATTATGTAACAAAAAATTTCATAAAGTATATAAAACATACAAAGTAGGCTTGTAATTAAGTAAATAACATCTTATATTTTCTATATCTAAATTTCTACCATCAATACCTCTAGGGAAATATAGTAATAAGAAAAAAATATATTCTCCAGAAAGAAAAATAGTTTATTTTTGTTTTAAAACAAAAGTAAAAGTTTAAATTTAGAAGGTCAGTATTGTGTTAATATCTTACTTAAGCACAACTTAATATATCAATGCTAAATTTATAAAGTTACATATATTTTAAGAGTGGCATAATATAGTGAGGCATTGAGATTTAGAAGTCTTTATTTATCATTTGTTTGTTACTTGCCTTATGTTCATTATATAAATTATGAACATATAGATTTAGAAGTTGTTTGCACATATAGGTATAAACTTAAAACATAAATAAATGAAAATATTTATCCCTTTTAAGTTTTTAAATAGTAATAGTGTTTTTGAGTGATAGTATAGATGGCTATACAGTTCTTTTTGAGTTATTAAACAAAAACAAGTGGGATAACATATAAATTATAAAAATTAAGGACTATGTTAAGGGTGTAATTTGAATAGTAAAATACAAGAGGACATGACAATATTAATCTTAACATTCTAATATAAAAGAACATAATGGCCTTGTAACTTTTTGTAAGGACAAAATAGTGATCGAATATAGAAAGGTAAAAGAACATAAGGCCTATTTTGTTTAATGATAAGATGGTCAATTAAAAGTTTTTCATGTTAAGGTACTTTTGTTCATAATAATCTATCTATCTATATTACTAATAAAAGTCCCTTAGTTGAAATTTTTTGATTCTATACTACTAATAGAAGTCCCTTAAATAAAAAACTTTTGATTACTATAAATACCCCCAAACAATTGTATAAAGTCAAAATTGTGCATCTATATCTATACTATAATACTCAAATATTATTTTCATCCATATTTAATTGAATTGACGGCTAAGCTAAAGTGAAAGCAAACAAATTCTAGTAGCAAACGTTATGCTAAAGTGAATGTCTGCTTCAATTACCATACTTTTAGATTCCCTTTATTGGCTTCGTAGTGGTTGAAATTTGATTTGGACTCTACAAGTACTACTACTTTTATTAACTTTTTTCTTCCCACCTTTTCCCTTTTTTATCACTGGAAGGAACACAACTAGAGTATAATGGCGTCGATCAGAGGACGAATGTATTCCATGCGCTATGGCGAATGTGTCTCTTCAAAAGCACCGCCGATTGTTGCAACTGCCCAATTTTGTTTTCAACTTAGAATTCGTTGGATAATCTATGATTCTATACTATTAATAAAAGTAACTTGGATGAAAGACTTTTGATTATCATAAATACTCCCCCAAACACAATTGTATAAAGTCAAAATTGTACATCTATATCTATACTATAATAGTTTTTACACAAATAATTGGTTGGACCCTACAAATTCTAGAAGTAAACGTTAAGCTAAAGTGAATGCTGCTTCACTTACCATACTTTCAGATTCCCTCGTAGTGGTTGAAATTTGATTTGGACTCTACAAGTACTACTTCTTTCACTACCTTTTTTCTTTCCACCTTTTCCCTTTTTACTCACTATAAAGAACACAACTGCAGTATAATAGTGTCGATCAAAGGACGAATGTATTACATCCACTGTGCTGAATGTGTCTTTTCCAAAGCACCGCCAGTCATTTCCACTATCCAATTTTGCTTTCAACTTAAAATTGCTCAGACTTTTGGATAATCTATCCTACTAAATAAAAGTAACTTAAATGAAAAACTTTTTATTACCATAAATATCCCCAAACAATTGTATAAAGTCAAAATCGTACATCTATATCTATACTATAATACTTTGTACTCAAATATTATTTTCATCCTTCATATTTAATTGAATTGACGTCTAATAACTAGTTAGACCCTACAAATTCTAGAAGTAAACGTTAAGCTAAAGAGAATGATATTTCACTTACTATACTTTCAGATTCCCTATATTGGCTTCGTAGCGGTTGAAATTTGATTTGGATTCTACAAGTATTACTTCTTTCACTACCTTTTTTCTTCCCACCTTTTCTCCTTTTTATTACTACAAGGAACACAACTGGAGTATAATAGTGTCAATTAGAGGACGAATGTATTTCATGCGCTATGCCGAGTGTATCTTTTCCAAAGCACCACCGGTTGTTGCCACTGCCCAGTTTTGCTTTCAACTTAGACTTCTTCAAACTTTAACATATACTACTAATAAAAGTAACTTAGATGAAAATTTTTGATTACCATAAATAACCCCAAACAATTGTATAAAGTCAAAATCGTACATCTATATCTATACTATAATAGTTTGTACTCAAATATCATTTTCATCATTCATATTTAATTTAATTGAGCTAATAACTAGTTAGATCTTATCTCCAACAGTTCTTTTGGAGAGCACTCGTCAGGTAGTACTATTATATTTATTGAAATATACCAATGAGATTGATCAATGAGCATTTCTGTTTTAAGGTCTTCAAATTTTTCTTATTATAGTTTTTACAATTGGCAATTTTACGTTTATAGTACCTCAAAAAATTATGCAATTTAATAGATATTACTTTAATGTCTTGCAATTGTTCTATATATTTGTTAGTAGTATTTTGGAATTTATTTTTTGTGAATAAATCAAAAACCATTTATCATCTTTTCAACTGTCCATTACATAACTTTATAATAATCATTTCATTAGATGTTTTTGTAGGAAATTTTATCTCTTACACAGTGTCATGCTTACTATCATTGCAGTTTCGCATAAATAATGTTCCCATCCGACCATCATTGACAGGTTGGTCACAGCAAGAGAAAAAGAAGAATGTCACATTTGTCAACCAAGAAGATCCCAAGCTTAGTGAGTTAGGGTCCAATGGAAAACCCTTGAAATCGAAATGTGAGATATATAAGTCAAGCTCATTTCTATTTTGGAACTGAGTTACTTTGAGTAGCGTTTAATAATAGATCGAATGGTAGCTCAAGTGATAACAAAGACGAGTTGCAAAATTAGAATCTTGGCAATCCCTTGGAGCTAGGCCATAAGATATTTATTCCTCATGAATACCCTAATTTCAGCGTGGATCGTCTACCTTTGACCGAACCGTAGAAGGGATTAGTTGAGGTACGCATAAATTGGTCCAGATACCTTAACTATAGAACCAAAAAAGGAAAAAAAAGCTACTTCAATCAAAAAAAAAAAAAAAAAAAACTAAGAAAGCTACTTGATCCAAATCACAATTGGATCTCAAATTCCTTCAAGATCACTTTGTACCACAACCATGCTCAATGTTAATAGTAGGATTGTCACATTGCTATCCACTTTGACTAGTGTATTATGTGACTCAATTTGGCTTGTGTATAACCCGGAGTTTAGTTGGACCCAACAACAAACAAAAGTGATCCATAAAAGGTCACCATTTAATGTATATATAAAACAAAACAAACATGCATTTGAATAACTTGTATTAGTCAACAATGTCGAGTAAAATATTTTTGATGGAACAGGAAAGAAATCATAACAAACAAATTTAATAGATACATTAGAATACCTCATCACCGTCATTCTCAGCATAATATGCAGAGACTTCCAAATCTTCAAGCTCCATCTCAAAGATGCCTTTATTGGAATCATCCTGTAAAATTTCCTCCCATGGTATTTCCACCTGTTATGAGACGATCACAACATTTTGTTAAATAAGTGCAAACTTTCATTTGACCAGCGTTTTTCTAATCAATTTTGAACAACTCACATCCAAATCTATCAGCCTATCCATCACTGCAGTAATCATCATGCTCCCAACAAGTTCTCCCATGGGACCACTCTCCAACCTTAACATGTTCTCCACATATATCACGATCAACTGCATGGATTAATAATAAAAAATTTAAACTGCATTAGAAAACAAGGTTACAGCGACTCATGATTTGCTGGACAAGAAATGATAAAAACTACTGCATCGATGCAAAGGCCCACAACATTGCCTGGGGTTCCTAACCCACATTTTGCAGGTGCCATTACTGTAACTAGTACAAAACTAAAATAGGTGCACATAAAAAGGCTAAAAGGCCATGCCTAGTGCATAAGTGGATGTTTTGATTTAACTGAAGAAACACTTGCTAGAGCCCAAACCACTTTGGGTGTACTATACTAACCATCAAAATGGTAAGATAATGAACTTACAATAATAAACTTTGCTTCCATGCCTTTGCAAATATTCACTTATTAAACAGTATGCCCCACGAATCTCATGTATGTATCTACTCAAAAAATATTTGGATAATTCAAGGAAAGCTTAAATTCCAAGTTGAGAGGTGTTATTTGGACTCACAGGTTCTTTTGTATATATATTTGGCATTCTATCAATGATTATTTTCTCCAATCTCCAAGGGATAAGAGGCAATAAATCAGCAATGTCTTTCAGTGCTAAATGCACACGATCAAGAACTTGATCCTTTCTTGCAATACCACGAGGCTCCTTCAGCGATTCTAGGAAAGAATAAGGAGGCATAAAATTGCTTACGAGCATATCCAAGCATAAATCAACATATTTCCCACTGGATGCAGCCTGCAAATGCAAGAAACCATGAAATTATCATAAGGGCCTGCCAGAGTTCAACAAAACAACCTAGCAGGCAATGCATATCACGCACGTACCAAGGATGTCATTAATTCAACCAATGCATCCATCACGTCAGGCCCATAGTTCCACAAACTCATTCCACATATCTGGAAACCACTCTCATATTAGCAATTTATGATAATCAAGGTCAACAATGATACACAAAAATTGTGACCAAACCATCAATACGTGTACCAATATCTTACACAAGAAAGAAGAGAGTGATGGTGCACAACATCAACGTATGAAACTGCTCCAGTTATAGCCTTTAAACTAGTCTGGAATGCATGGGAGAAACAAAAAAGGGAAACAATTTAAAAAGCAATTGTGGAAAGCATCTACTATCTCAAAATATTAGTTTATCTTCATGTACAACATACCACAAGAAGGGCCACCTCATCGGGAGCTAGGCGTTCACTGTGGTGCAACACGCCAACTAGCTGGTTATAATTGTCAGTGTCTCCCTGAGGAAGTAATAATTTCATTATCAAATCATTGATCAAAACCTCACCATAAATTCTGGATGCTATGCCAAGTTGATAGGCATGAAGCTATGCATCATCATCCAACAATTAGATGATAGAAGAGGGCCAATATTATAAAAAGTCATCCATGCCTGTCCTCTTTATAAAAATCATAGCAATTTGCAAAGGGAAATAATAATGGTGATAACGACATAAGTGTCAAATAGATGGAAATAACAGCCAACATCAAAAGCTTCAAGCTTCCAGAGTTCTACAACATAAACTAAATAAAAAAGGAGGCATAGAAATATCACCCAGACTTATCATACCAAAATCATGCCTGTATTAAAATTAGCAACCTAACCTCCAAAACAATTTTATCATGTCAGATCTTAACATGATCAATCTCAATAGGTCATTAGATTGTACAAATGAACAAAGTCATCCGGAACAGAAAACATGAAGCACCCATTTTTTCTTGAAACCCCGACACTTGGCTATATATAAATACTGATAACTGATAAAAGTTTGCTGCAATTGGTATAACACACTTCATCAAGGTATAATTGATAAAGTAAGGCCACATATTCTTTTTCTGCTTGATAGGTAAAGTAAAGCCATGTTGAAGAAGAAAACTTTGAGTGCATTTCAGAATGCTTACCAAGAGGGCAGCTCTGAGGGCGTCCCTTACATGATGCACCAACTCTGAATCTGTGAAAATAACATTCTCCATTTCAACGAACCCTGCCTGCTCTGCTGCTAATTGCACTCCCATTATCTCCGAGATAGCTAATGATAGTGCAATCCCCGGCAAGGCTCTCTAACTAAGTTTTTTTTGTAATTTAAACCTACACAGTTGGGAAACCCACATGAACATGCCAGTGTACTCAAACTCCAGGTAGTTTTTTTGTAATTTAAACCTACACAGTTGGGAAAACCACATGAACATGCCAGTTTACTCAAACTCCAGGTAGTTTTTTGTAATTTAAACCTACACAGTTGGGAAAACCACATGAACATGCCAGTGTACTCACAAACTCTAGGTAGTTTTTTGTAATTTAAACCTACACAGTTGGGAAAACCACATGAACATGCCAGTGTACTCAAACTTTAGAATTCCCCGGTTCTAATTAGTGTTGCCATGTATTAGAATAAGTATAAAAGTAATAAAACTTCCAAGCATACTGAAGAAAATTGAGATAATCAATCTGGCAAAAAACAATTTACCCATATGGAAATTTCATTCCAAATATATGATCCAGCAAATCAAACAAAGTTCCATATATCTGTATAAAGTATGAAAAAACAAAACAAAACAATTCCTTCTCATACCCAATAATTTAATTCTCTAAGTACATATATACGTGCGTGTGTGTATAAGTGAGCTTACAAGCAAGGTAGAGCTGGAAACAGCGAATGAGCGGCGATCTGTGAGAACACAGGAGAGAGAGTCTGCCCTCCTTTCTCTTTGCAATGAGAACCCTAAAAGACGAAAGCGGTTGACTCTCTCTGTCTCTGTCTCGTTTTTTCTGTTGTGGTTTGGCCCATCTTAACTATGGTTTAGTTTTAGTTCCTTTAATAATTTAGTTAATAAATATCTTGGAGCACTGAGAGAGAGAGAGAACGCTTAGGAGTTACCTGGGTCAGCGACTCAGCATCAGCGAGAGAGAGAGAGAGAAGACGGGGGCCGACGGCGTCTTCTTGGCGGCGTTTAAATTCTATCGATTTGTTTCAGTTCTTCCTTTGTCTCTGAAAATTATCGGGCAAGAATGGGGAGAGAGAGAGAGATGCAGTGGGCAGTCGGCAGTGGGCAGTGGGCAGTCGGCAGTCGGCGGTCGGCAAAGGCAGTCGTGGAGTACCGAATGAATGAGACGTTTAGGGCTTGGAGTATATATATATAATAGAAAAACGCACGGTGTAATTAAAGAATAATCAAATATTAATTTGAGCACAAAATAATAGATCACTGAACTTGAATACGAACTAAATTAAAAGTCAAAATTGCTTCCTTTAATTCACGCACACTTGACATTTATCGAGCCAAAGTACATACCAAGCTTTTTTTTGCTTCACATTAAAAAAAAATTGAAATCAGTGAAGAAAATTTTAAAGTTTCAACAAAATATTATATAAAAATATGATATTACAACTATATCAACCTACCTACAAAATTTCATAATCATACCAACTACCACAACAACATTATAGTAATTACCAACTACCATCACAACATATCAGTATTTATATTGGCTAAACACAAATTTCACTAATTGACCAAGAAAATCATGATAATTAAAATCATCACACATACATGAAAGTTATATGATTTCATTCATTGCAAACCACACTGATTCTCAAACCATAACAAACAAAGTCTTCCGATCCAAACAAACTCACTTAGAGTGTCATAAAACACTACTAATTCAATTTTCACTCATCCATTCTCACAAATCTAATTATCATCCAATCTAACAGGTTATAATAACTAAAAACTACAACCATGATAATCATGCCAAACATTAAAGATTAGTTGAAGTC